TGCGCCGAAGACAGGGCGCGACTTCGCCACCAATCGCTACTCAAACCTGGTTTTGATGCCAATCAACGACCAGATCATTGAACTGCAGACCATTATCAGAGACAAGTATGTCATCAACAGATCATATGATTATCTTAAGACAATTGTCTGATCCGTTGCCACAGAACGACATCCAGAAGTGACTTCATCTTCTATGCGGACCGACTCGTGAGTAAACTCTTGGGTAGTGTTGTCCACACTTTTGTGACCACTATTTGTGTCAAAACAGATCCGTTTGGTTGTGGAGGAAGGGCTGAATCAGTTGCCATCGAAGGCCATCGACGTGCGGACGCCTACGGGTGCCATATATCACGGTCTGGAGTACATCAAGAAGAGTATCTGCGGCGTCAGTATTGTCCGCAGCGGCGAAGCCATGGAAAAGGGTTTAAGAGATTGTTGTCAATCGATACGAATCGGCAAAATACTGATCCAATCGGATGAGTTCACTCACGAGGCGCGTGTCGTGTACGCCAACTTCCCCGAAGACCTACAGGAGCGCAAAGTGCTGCTCATGTATCCCATTATGAGCACCGGGAACACAGTGGTGAAAGCCGTCAAAGTGCTTATGGATCAGGGCGTCAAACCTAAGAGTATTATTCTGTTGAACCTCTTCTGCACACCTAATGGTAAGCCTTTTGTCGATTGATTGACTTTTTGGTGATAATTATCTGTGAATTTATGTTGTCATCAGCGGTCGCATCGGTGGCCAAAACTTTCCCATTGATGACGATTTTGACGTCTGAAGTGAATCCTGTGGCGCCCAACCATTTCGGACAGAAATACTTTGGCACTGATTAGTGATCAGTAATTTATGGCCAGATTATGGCTTAGGTTTTCGAGTTTTATCATAATTTTTATATTTGTTTTCAATGAAAAGTATTATAATTAAAATATATTTACATTTTAATTAAACATTAAGTTTAATGACTCGTTTGTTTTAATAATTTTATTACATAATGTATTTTAAATGTTTGTAAATTGTATTTGAAAACTATTCAACCATAACATGTGACAAATTATAAATCAATTGAAATGTTTTACAGATTTTGTTATAAGAAAATTAAACACAAATTAAAAAATTTAATAAAATGTGATTCAAAAGCAATAAAACCAGACATTAATCATAAGGTCGGAGCCGTTTGGGCTTATTATCCACGTATTGATCCAAATCCGAGTCTCGTCTACAGGCGCTGCTCGAAGACGATATATTCTCATCCCTGACCTTACACTTGCCATCGCATCGACTATTATCTCCACCACTGGAACCGTTGACAAAAGATATTCGCAAAGGCCTGCCGTCAACCGTCTTGCCATTGAGTCCGAAGAAGGCATTCCGGGCGTCCTGTTTGCGCTCATATATGACAAACCCGGAGCCCATCGACCGGCCCTCACCCGTGTAGTTCAGTCCCGATCTGATCAGAGGTCCGAACGGTTCAAACGCCGACCGAAAAGTTTGTTCAGTCGTATTGTAACTAACATTGCGGACGAATAGCCTCCCGGCGTCGCCCCGGTAGCCATCGTTGGCCGCACGCCTTACCGGCGGTCTGCCCCTCGAGTTGTCTACGATTACGTCAGTGTACTTCCATTGGTCTCGTGGGAGGCCGTAGTCCAGTAGACTCCAGTCGCGGATCACATCATCTAATGATAGCTTTAACAGGAATGCTATCCTTTCCTCTTCGGACACCACTTTAGGATTGTTAGACATTTTGGTCTCAATCTGTCATTTAGTGGTTCACATGAGACTAAGTAGTGCTGGACTAACACAATGAACAAGTGATTGAAACTTTCGTAAAATATTTGCATTTTAAAGTTCAGGCATTTTCATTCATTAATAGGAGAATAAACTTTTTAGTCTTGTTTAAATTAGTTTGAGTTATCATTTCTTATAAATGTTCAATCATATTCAAATAAATAATTTCCAATGAATTTATATATGGAATATTTTGATACCGTAACTTATTCTTAACTTGTACGGTATGTTAATTTTATACTGTATGACTACAGTAAGTTTACTGGTAATTTACTGTATGTGTAATGTTTAGTAGTTAAACTTTAGCTGATAGTGATTATTAATATACGGTAGTAAATACAGTAGTAAAAGTTACTTAATGTTAATTTTTCTAAAAAATCATTAAAATCATTATCAATATCGATAATATTAAAATCAAATCAAACTCGTGTAATGTTAAAATACTGTACTAATTAACTGAAACATTGAAACTTCAAAAACAATTACAATAAACTTTTTATTCAATAAATAACTTTTAAATTTAATTTAAACTACAATTAAATTTGTATAGATTTTAAATCAACAATTTTGATGACACGACACAAATGAATATTTCAATTGAATCATCATTTAGCGGTAGAATGCAATCGTTTAACATGTATAACAATATTACCGCTATTGCCTGTCCTATACTGACATCCCGGCCAATGACACTCAAAAGGCTTAACATTGTTGTGTACATTCATGTGCTCTTCCAAAGACTTCTTTAACCGGAACCGTTTGCCACAGTCTGGTCACTCGCACGGGTAGGGCTTATCGCCGGTATGTAAGCGCTTATGCGAAGCCAACGCCGCCCCCTCCCACTCACAGCCGGGCCAATCGCACCGGTGTTTATACACTCGTTTGGGAAGTGGTTTGCGATTGTGTGCCGACGTCTCGTGTTTGCGGAGCTTTTCATACGTGAAAAACATTTGTCCGCAGCCGTGGTGTCGGCACTTAAAGGACGGGCTGTTTGTGTGGACCGAGCCGTGAGTGTTGAGCTCTCGAGCGGTTCGGAAGCTCCGGACGCAGACATAGGCGGCGCTCCTGTGGCTCAGCGAATGGTTCCACAAACCACTCCTCACTTTGAAGACTCGGCCGCAGCCCTCGTAATCGCACCGAAAGGGCCGTTCACTCGAGTGCCGGTTCCTCTTGTGTGCAGTCACTTCATGTCGTGTCAGACACTCGTAATGGCAGTCCTCGTAATCACATGCAAATGGTTTCATCTGTTGGTGACTCTTCGTGTGTTCGTTGAGATGATACACGCGTTTAAAGCCTTTCGTATTACTTACAGAAGTATAGGCGCTCGCAGTGGACATGGATCTCGTGTGCAGATAGGCTTTTCATGGACTTGAAATACTTATGACAACCACTTTGTCAACATTTATAGGTCTTCGTTGACAAACACTTCTCGCTGTCGCTGTTGTGGTCAATGTCTTCATTTGTATGTCTTTTGGTGGTAACTATTGTCTCATATAATGACACATTTGTATGCATTTTATCTTTTCGTTTGTGTTTTATTGGTTTCGTGTCCAATGTATGCCTTTTACCACTCATTGGTTTCAAGATATCACAGGTATTTTCAAGACATTCCTCGAGTTTCTCAACATTTATATTATCTAAACATTGCTTTATTTCTCTACTATTTGTAGATTTAATGGATTCTTGATTGCAATGATCAATGGTGTCATCAGTTGTGGTAACTTCAGGAGGAAGTGTTGACAACAACTCCTGGAAGTGTTGTCTGTCTTGGGATGAGATGAATGTCTCGTATTTCACGTGAATATCAATTAAATGTCTTTTCAATTGGTTTGCAATCAATAACTCATTCATTAGTCTCTGGTTTTCAGCCATCAGTTCATCCAAAACATCGTGGATTGCAATCATTGTCTCACTTGTCATCACTTCCAGCACTTCCAGTGTCTGTAAA